TTAATTTTCATGCTCGAACCGGCTGACATTTAACCCAAATTTATGAAAGGACTGACGGATAAATATGAAACCGATGAACTCCATATTCCTGACATGTTTCAAGGTACTATTAAAGTTTGCTATCTGACTGTTATTACGATCCTAAGTTTAATTGTTATTTTATTATGAATTTTTTTAAAGGACCCCTTTTCGAAGCCTCGCAAAATATACAAAAATGGCTAAGTTTAATGGGTATGAAACGTTCCTGGTACCTAAAAGTTTGAAACAAAAATTACAGCATCTAAAAGCCTGATTATTGCTTGCTATATACCACAAAAGTTTCATGCTTGGAATCGAAGTGGTTTTGGATTTACAAATAAAAGTGTGAAGTAAGGTATACCCAATTAGGACGTCACGCCAACAGGCGCGTATAGCTAAACAGAGGTCTAGCCATGGAAAAAACTGATAGTTAAAACATTCTTGAGAATTAAGTTTGATAGTTATAGCGTTGGAAGAATACAAAGAATATGACTACGGATGCAAGTTACGAGATTTTTAGCTTTTGAAACGATAAAACTTAGCCATTTTTAGTATATTTTGCGAGGCGTCGAAGAGGTCCTTTAAAAAAATTCATAATAAAATAACAATTAAACTTAGGATCGTAATAACAGTCAGATAGCAAACTTTAATAGTACCTTGAAACATGTCAGGAATATGGAGTTCATCGGTTTCATATCTATCCGTCAGTGCTTTCATAAATTTGGGTTAACGGTTCGAGCATGAAAATTAACTCATTACCCGCGAAATCAGGATTTTGTAAAAATCTTACGAAAAAAAATCGCAGCAGCTTTTTAGTATTTTTTCCATTGTAGGAACACTAAATGTGTTGATTTGGTGAAATAAAAAAATTCGAATATTTTCATTTGACTTGAGATTCTCGGTTTTTACAGGCAGTTGCTCTTAATAATTCTCATTCCCTCGGCGCGTAAGCGCAACATGCAGCTACCGTCGAGCAAACACAATCGTATCCCGTTTTTAATCACGGAGGCCTCTTCATAAACTTTCGAAATTCTAAAGCATATGCATATAGTCAGCCCCCCCCCCAACACTCGAAAATCACAAGGCGGTGCCAGTTTTGTTTGAGACTCCAATTCTTAAACTCGGTGCCTCCATTTTGCAAATTTTCGCAGAAGGTGCATGCAGTGGCGAAAGCAGCCCGACAATGTGGTCATGATATGCAAATTTTGAATCATTATCATTATTCATTTCTTTAGAAATTGATTGTTTTCACGATGAACACGGAAATATTTGCATAGCATGACCAAAATGCCGGGCTGGATTCATCACTGGGGTGCATGCCCCCGCACCCTCTAGTTTTCACCGCTCCTAGCATTTCAATTATGTTTTGCGTGTCGTGTTTGCACTAGGCTGAAAATCGTAACTGCGGTTCCCAGCTTAGCTGTAACTGATTAGCCTTCCCGAAATAAAACCTATTCCCGCTGTCACTGGATGTAGGGTACAAGGGTCCCAGATCGTCCAACCCTCCCCCTAGAAAATTGTTGAATATGCGCCCCTGCATGTAGTGTCTGTATACCTTGGTTCCTGCGCCGTCACTTCATGCTGCCGAATTTCATTACGTGTATGTGTATGTACATCGTCGTCTTCAGAATATTTCTTCTGTTTTACGCCGGCGACTTTCTCAAGATCATCTGGGTCAACATCATCGAACCAAATCTCATCTTTGCCTGATTTTATAACATTTCTATATAATATACAATACAATACAATAAAATATTTAGTATTTAGTAACGAATATGCTCTTAGTCTGAGCTTAATAATCCATTTCTTTGCGTTACACGTTAAAGCTTGCAACCAGGGTGCATATATAGAGGGCGATGCAACACGCTGGTGTCTTGCTAATCCCCGAGCCAACGGCGCGGAGCGCCGTTCCGGGTGTAAGCCCGGGCGAGGGTACTAAATCCACCCGGCTATTTACACCCGGGGAAAGGAAAGCATTAGCGAAGTCTAAAGTTCATCAATGATCGCGGGCGCATGGTGTATGTGTGGTCATCTCACTGATCTCAAAATACGACTGCTGCCAGGAGTGAAGAAGGCAAAAACTAAAAAATACATGTAAAATTGTAAAACTTTTTTCAATTTTTAAACGTACACATTGATAAGAATTGATTTAGTATGAGAAATCCTAAAGTATAGGGCAAGTTTGTTTCAATTGCTTATGTATGACTTTGTATTAGTATAGACTTTGTTCTTGTTCTTCAAGTCTTTCCGACACAGCCAGAAACGCGCAAGTTGCAGCAGGTCTGCTGCAGACTTGATGCAACCTGCGATCATCAAGCCGATATCAGGATGCGTTCGCATCGCTTGCTCCGGCTTGATAATATCAAGTCTGTTGCAAGTTGTCAACAGACTTGCTGCAAGTTGTGAACTGCAGACTTGATGCAAGTTGTGAACTGCAGGCTTGCTGCAAGTTGTGAAATGCTGGCTTGATGCAAGTTGTGACTTGCAGACTTGCTGCAAGTTGTGAACTGCTGGCTTGATGCAATTTGTGAACTGCTGGCTTGATGCAAGTTGTGAACTGCAGACTTGCTGCAAGTTGTGAACTGCAGACTTGCTGCAAGTTGTGAACTGCAGACTTGCTGCAAGTTGTGAACTGCAGGCTTGCTGCAAGTTGTGAACTGCTGGCTTGATGCAAGTTGTGAACTGCTGGCTTGATGCAAGTTGTGAACTGCACGCCTGACGCAATTTGTGAACTGCATGTGACAATCACAGGGAGCACCATAGGTAAATTCCAAAGAAATATTAAGTACTGTACATGAGATAGCTACTCTAATCCTAACAATATACTGTACATGTAGTTAGGTTTGGCACATATATGAGTGGGGCAAAATCAGAAGTGTAGCTTAACACTTGCCCGCGGCAAGTGAATATCATGACGGGCAAGTAAACGTTTTAACTTGCTTGCCCAATTGGGCAAGTTGCCTTGCTACAAAAAGCTTGGCATCTTTAAGTTTATGTTTTCATTGTCGGATATATCTTTTATAGTGCATGTACTTGATTCAAATTTTGTTTTTTTGTGGGTCTGAGGCAGTACCGGTACCAGGGTTCGAATTTCCCTGAAATCAATCGACGGCAATGGCGTTAAAAATTGCCGTAGAACGTAACAGCTGTCTACGGCAATTTCGGCAGCTTCCACGGCATTTTTTCAAATAACTGTAATAAAAATTCAACTTTATTGTTATTTTGGATTGCTGACAAGCTAGAAACATGTTTACGTATTTCTTTAGTGATTTTTTTCGAAGAAAACTGAGACTAAAATAGTATAGTTTACGCATGATTTGATCAAAATCTGAATTCAAGTATCAAAATAGTGATGCACAGTAAATGGTATAAAAATAGGTACGCTAGGCGTACATGTATCTGCACCAAGGAATTTCATAGTTGCTATGAAAGAAGTAAGGTATCATATTGCTGATTATGATGAAAAAATAAAAATGGCGGCCGTGTAAACACGGAGTGACAGCTTATACTTGTAAATATTGAAATATTTCGGTTGTTTCGGCAGTTTTTATTGAAATTTTTCAGCATAATTAGCAATATGATACCTTACTTCCCGTCATCCCCTGCGCGCATAAATTAAAAGCTGGAATTGCCTATTATTATAGTAAGCATTTATATTTCGAAGTGACTATACAGCCAGCTATTTAGTAAACTGCTGGCTATATAGTGACTAAGAAAAAAAAGCTAAGTCAGACAAAACACAACCCGACGGGCGTTTCACTTTTCGCACGCAGCGCCTATACCGTATACTCTAACGGCAAGCTCGCTAAAAGCTAGCGCAAACAACAAAAGTTTTTTTTATATTTAACTATAGTCAGTATATAGCCGGCAGTTTACTAAATACCCGGCTGCCGGCAGTATAGTCACTTTGTTTATATTTGATATGACAAAGAATGTTCAGATTGCAGTCTCCTCTCTACCGCAATCAACTGTCAGAACAGGGGCGCCAATGTGAAGCGGCGGGGGCAGCCATTTCAAAAGGGCACTTGCTTCTCAGCCATCATTTTTCTGGGCAGCAATATTTGTTAACACTTTACTGTATGGATACTCGATTACTTCTGTCTATTATGGATCGCAACCTTCGAAATGTTGATTGATTTTTAGCTATTCGTTACACAGTGCTAAAGGCGCAAAATAAAATCAGTAAACAGACGTATAAAAATTACGGGAACCACTGAGTATTTTAATAAAATAAAACAACGGTAACTCCGAAAATAAACATTTTAATATTCTAGCTTTCGACTAAGATTCACCTGATGATGACTGAATCTTAGTCGAAAGCTACAATATTAAAATGTTTATTTTTGGAGTTACCGTTGTTTTTATATTTTAAACAGACGTATATTCCTTGATTTAGCATTAATTTTACTACAACTGGTTAAAAATTAAGCAAAGGTTGCTTAAAGATGCTGTACAGTCCGATCTGCGTATGTGAACAAAGGAGCCCTCTTTTTATTATACAAACAGTTTATTTAGGTTTTTATTTCATTTTTTGTTCTTGCAAAGCTTGATTGTTGTGTCTTGATAGAATCATGAAAATATAAATAGTTGTCGAATAAAATTCTATATTTTGGATACCGAAATGTAAACAAATCCTTTGTTTACATACGGACTGTACCGCATCTTTAAACATTGCTTAAAAATAGTTCTAAATTCCAATTCCTGTGAATAATGCACAAATTTCGAGGTGTAGTTTTGGCAAAAAAGGGCAACTTGTTGCCCCCGTGCTGCCCCTGAAACGTTTGGGCAACGGGGGCAGTTGCCCCCGTGGCTCCGGCGCCCCTGTGTCAGAAAGCCACCATTGTTTATAATAAAAACAGAATAAGAGTTATGTATAAAATGAGTACAAAATTGCCGAGGTAAATACTGTACCCACATTTATAAATGTATGCTAAATGAAAAAAATACATACAATCTGTAAAGAAATTTTGTTAACTTTACTCAGTTATGAAGCAATCCTATAATCCTAATTAGCATGTCCTGTGACTAAAGCACCATATAACAAAATTTTAACGTAACATAATAATTCTGAATTCTGTGACTGTATATAAAATGTACCATATATAAACAAATTATATATTAATTATGAATAGACAATCGATATTATTAAAAAGACATGCACGGTTACTCACCTAAAAGCTTTACGATGTTACTTTGGGCAATCTTCTAAGATATAACAAAAAGTTTTTATCCGAGAATTTTGAGTTATATACATAGCCAGAGCAAAATATAAAATACTCGTCACTCTGTAGAAAGCCGCCATATTTGTTTTACGGCCTGTTCGCAGGCGTACCGCTCTAATTAGTCGACCTGAGTGTTTAACGCACACACCCACCCACAACTCGATAGCATAGTATCTAGCGCTCCACGCAGATACAAAAATTATACTATACGGCAAGAAATTGCTGTCGTTGCCGCAATGATCCATAGCATTTTGTTCTCCCTCTACGGCAATTGTGGCGATAAAATTCAAGCCTTGACCGGTACATAACATATAGTATAGTCATATAGAGCAGTGGGGGAACAGGTCGACATGTTGTCTCCTTAATTTATACCCGAGTGGCCATTGTCTCTGATGGCAAGTGAATTTTATTCCGGGCAACTAACTTTCATGTCCAACTTGTCCTGAGGGAAAGTGGTCAAGATACACCACTGGCAAAATATGAATCATTACATATGACGTCGCTCCAGCATCGCACACTGCGACAGTCTCTGCCAAACGTTTCTCGCTCCAAATTCAGTCAATTAAGTTCAGTAAATGACTGGAACGGCATCTGAAATGGGCCTTATACAAAATGTTTCGAACATTGAGGTGAAAAATGCATTTTATACTTACTGCAACCTCTGCATCTGTTTAGATTTGTTGTTTGTAAACTCTTTAGATTCATTTGGTAGTCTTTTCCTTTTGAAGGTTTTCTTTGGTTCTTTGTTGGTTTGAATTACCTGTAAGAGTATAAGAATACTAAAAAGCTTTTCCACAATTGATATTCTTCAGCAGTGGTGTAACTTAACACTTGCCTGCTTGCCCAGGGCAAGTGAATATCATAACGACAAGTAAACGTTTTATCTTGCTTACCCGATTGGGCAAGTTGCCTTGCCACAAAAAGCTGGGCATCTTTAAGTTTATGTTTTCATTGTCGGATACATCTTTGAAAGTGCATGTACTTGATTCAAATTTTGTTTTTTCTGTGGGCCAAGGCTAGATCTGAGGCAGAAGCCATATAGAGCAGTGGGGGAACAGGTCGACATGTTGTCCCCTTAATTTATACCTGAGTGGTCATTGTCTGATGGCAAGTGAATTTTATTCCGGGCAACTAACTTTCACGTCCAACTTGTCCTGAGGGAAAGTGGTCAAAAAAGTAAAGTTACACCACTGTTAAGCCAGTTTCTATAACAAATATGCCAGCGTTTGAAGTGTACATGTCATGCATACGAAGAATTAGCAAAGTACAAATTTTACTCGTCAGTGTTGGTCAACAAAGAAAATCTTGCAAAGTACTGTAATTTGAGCACTTGCACGTGGTTGGTCAGCAATCTATTGGTGAAATGACTATAATAATAACAGCTATATTGTAGCAATTAGAAAATTTGTTGTACATACTAGACAGTGCAATTGCCAAAAAAAATTTATCATATGAAAATTTGTCATAGAAAACAAGCTTGTCTGTAACCAGCTAAATGTTGCCATGACCAGAGAAGTTGGCAAAATCAAGTTATAAAACAGTCATTGCTCAGATTCGAGAATCCTTGGCTTTGAAAACAAGCTGGCAGAATCAGAACTTGTCATTACTTTGTCAATAGTACAGTAAGAGATAATGGCAAAGAACCTTGCAATAGCTGTGGAGCTGACATGTTGACATGATTAAAAATAGGTACGCGACGCGTACATGTATCTGTGAAAAAACTGATTCACATACCAATTAGCCCTGTTAGGCTATACACAGTGGGGGAGAGCAGTAATTTTATGTGATTATGATTGTAACAGATAATTATGCAGTCAGGAAACAAAAATTGCATGCAAAACTTTATTGTAATCATATGAAGCAAAAGTTCTGTCATTTGTTGCTTACACTTGATTGCTTACATTTGTTGTTAACCGTTGAGTAACATACACAAAACTATTTGAGGAACATGCATTACTGTAGCAATGAGGTCAATCATATATCGAAGACCACTGAATAGTACAGAATGTTTTAAAGGTCATGAGTAAAGTATATAATTCAATTCCAGTCGTGTACCAGTTATTAATATACCACACTGTTCGGTTTAACACAGCATCTCCACACAGCACAGCCATTGATCTGATCCATCCATATATAATATATGATTATTATAGCTGTTAAGTTTTTTTCCATACTAATGAATTTAGGTAAGATTGTCTTGCAAGTGGGTTGCTCTGACAAAATTATCCAGCCAATATCCAGTACATTTATTCATCACTCTTGTATTAATCTCTAAACAAAAACATTTATGTTAGAAAGCAAAATGACAATTGATGTAATGAGGACAGGTGGGGATTCTGTTATTAGCATTTGAAAATGTTTCTAAAAATTTTGTCTAATTAAAATTAACTCTTAATGTGTAAAACCAAAATGTATAAGTATTTTAACTCATAACATTTTAACCTTTGCTTCTAACACTACATTTGATGACAGCTTTTAATATAGTTGGACTGTTGTTTTGAACATGAGAGTTACAGAAATATAGGACCAGCATTTAATTTAATGTATCTGCTGAGAATGTTGGCTTCCTATGATATTGTTCATTAAATAGCAATGTTGCCTGCTATGTTTTGACTGTTTAAAATATTACACAATGATTGTTTTACTGTACAAATGTTTTTGTGAACTAAGTTAACAAATGGCTTAAAATATCCATATGAATTAATAAAAATATGTACAAATTTGGCATTTAAATGTAATAAAAATATGGGGTATTTGACTACATACCAGATGAGGATAAGTTTCCATGCTGATAGATACCTTCGGAATAATTTCGCAAATAGAACAGCGAGAAAACAAGACAGCCAGTTCAAAATAAAATCAAGATATTTTTGAACGCCAAAATGGTGTCCCACACTCACATGTGGACACCACGCTCTGAAACAATATGGCATTCGCGAGCTGTTGTTGATGTTGTTTGTAATTTGGTACAGAAGATTTGATTTAACCAAAGATTTTCACGACATATGTTACCTTTAATGATCCAAAGGATACATGGTCAAATATTTTAAAGAGGAAACGTAGTTAATATTTAGCAAGTTTTAAAGTTTATTCAGTGATGATATTTTCCTCGGGGCAAAGCCCCTCGGAAAATATCATCACTTCAGGAAATATTACGCCGAATCTCCCTTGCTCCGGGTCTATAAATGATAAATATTCACATTGACTTCATCTCGGTGAATATTCCCCGATAATCACCTCGCCTTCAGGAACTAATTGTTAAATATATATAAAAGAGAGCAGTATATAAAACTCATAATTTGTCACATGTGTACAACAGTGTACGGTATCAGAAGACTACTGTAGTTGTTTGTGTTTCACAACATTTTAACACAACATTTTAACGTTTGCATTTATAATAAAAGTACCAGCAATATCTGACAAACTTTTATCAGATACTGGATAGTGCAAGATGTCTATATTTTGCCAGCTATAACAACTTCTACAGCTTCGGCGTAGAGTTACAGTAAGCCTTGGTGTACTGGGGACAATCGTCTTTCCTGGCGTAATGGTGTATGCTGTTTTTAACTTGGTGGCGCATAAATACCAATAAATACATCAAATGGCGTAAATTCCTAAAACATGTTGAATTTTTGGATAACTAACTCATATGCCCTGGCGTGGGTGAGAGTCGGAAGAATGGATCAGGGTGGGATGTTGGTGTAGCGTTGCGACTGCTTTAAGGCATATCCCAGACTGTAAAGTTTGGCCTGCGCAGGGAACGCATTCCCTGCACAGAAATTTTAGCTGAATTTCTGTCCGCGTATTTTCAAGAAAATCCTACAAAATCTGCATATTTTTTTATGAACTAATGATTTATTTTGACTCTTACTGTACGTGTTGGGCCTTGCGAAGGGTAGAGAAAACTCTGAAAATGCCATTTCAGACGATATAGAGACACCAAATTTTTTGAAATTTTCTCAAATGTTCTGCCTTCGGTAACGTTTCGGGCAACTGCCAAGTTCCTGACAACAGAAAAGTTCCCTGTACAAAAATAATACTTTACATTCTGGGGCGTACCTTCGGCGTAGCATTTACAACGAATGCACCCTGGTCCGCCCGGCACATCTCTAGGTGGAATGTTACTGTATTAGGTTGCCAGATCCATGGATGTTACACTGATTATCCTCATTTAAAACCTTACTGCTGAAATAAAAGGCCTTTCGCAATTTGATGATTTTGTGTAATATATTATTGAGAAGGTTTGTGAATACTGAAAGATTGATTATATATAAACAAAATTATTAACTGCAGGCTGCAGCCACTTTAAGCAAGAGCAAAACCTCCAACACGCATGTACTCAGGGGCGGATTCAGACAGGTTTGACAGGTTTATATAAACCTGTCAGATTCTCCAAAGAAAGAAAATCTGTAACCTTCCATGTAAATATATAACTAATTTAAAGAATATTCTGTTTCATAAACTTGATGTTGTCTAATCTATTACGCCATTTAAATACTCTTATTGAAATTTGATTCTGGATTACTGAGCGTATTTAGACGCACTTACATAGTAAGCATTTAATTAATTAAGGACTTATCGCGTTGGTTTCCTCTTACAAAATGTTGTATTACTAGACAAATAATCTGCTGATGTGTCGTCGTGGGTCGTGGACTGAAACATCGCATGAATCACACATAACCGCCCGCAATTATGAGTAAACCGGTGGTCAGAGTTTTCTCAATTAGAGTAAACTGGTCGATACGCCATTCGATTGGCTAAACGGCTGCGCTCCGCCGGATGTAAACCGGTCATAAACGTGTGAGTCGAGCAGTATTTAGAGAAAATTGGGAATGAAAGTTAACAGAACTCGAGGACGCGCGAAATATGTTTATAATTTTGCGTGACTGACAATTGCGTTGGCGATAGAAGCATTTACATGGATTTCTTGTTCATTTTGAAGGTTTGTTTAAAAGTATTTTGTCTAAAGTTATAACTGTAAGCTATTTCTACTTACTGTATAATAAATATTGATCCGTCGACAAGCGTATCGATGTTTATACGTGTAACTTCTATACAGTCTACACTCATGATAGCGCGAAATATGTGTATAATATTGCGTAACCGAATCATTGCGTTCGCGATAGAGAATCAGGAAATAATTATAAAGCTTTCACGCTCTTGCAGTTTGGTTTCTATTTCATTGTTAAAGTGGTTGGTTTGAAAGCGTATAGATCTAAAATTACAACTATGTTTATATTAAAAGCATCTCTACTTGTGTTACTTAGTATAATAAATATCGATGCGTCAGCAATTTGCCAATCCTATATTTTTATCACCAGCTAATAAGTTTCCGAAAAGGTTCAATTCATTGTATGAGCTGTGTATATTAGTCCAAAATTCTCTTAAAACCATGTATTTTCTAACCATTAAATTAATTTAAAAGGTGACGCCAGAACGCAGGAAATGCTGTTTCAGAGGCCCGAATTTTAAAAATTTCCCGGGGCTCCATGCCCCGGACCTCCCTAGTGGTTGTGTGGACCTAGTAAACCTGTCATCCAAAACGCTGAATCCGCCCCTGTGTACTTTTAAGTCACTCATATAGCGTTCTGACGTAAGCAGTCGGCGTGAAATCTTCACGTTTTCCAACCCTGACTGTATTAAAAAGGTCTAAAAATGAACATAAATTACTCTATGAAATACTTATTACTTACTGCGGATAAAGCTTTCCAGTTTGAAGAAACCTCACTGGCAGTTTTAGGCAACCTTGGTTGTATCACATCTTTTGTATGTTTTGCTTGCTTTTTATTATTTTGTGAGAATTTTCGGTGTTTTATTTTCGTTTTAGAAGCATGATCTTCGGCCATCACCACATGGATTTGTTGTTCAAAGTGTTGTACTTCATGTAAATCGAAACATATGGCTTTTATCACCAAACTGAATATTAAAATAAGCCAAAAAAGCCAAAATCAAAGAATGCATAAAATGCGGCAGAGACTGGTGATTCACATGCATGGTAAGTGCGGAAAAAGAGAAAAGTGCTCAAATCTAAAACTGAGGAGGTCCATCGTTGACAGCGTGCTTCTATATTATGCCCAAACTACAAAAACACTCACGTGACTAAAAGAAATCAGTCAAGCTAACCACAATCTCGTACCCAGATCCCAAAACAAATGTGTCGAATGGTGTATGCTAGTCAGTGGTATGAATACAACTGGTAAGCTACCTTCAATCGGAAGTTTGATCGAGGCCAAACTTGAAAGTCAGTTGCAGTTTTTTCGCGCATGCAAAAAGCGTGGTTAATCATTCAACATGAATATATATTGTTTGTGATGTTACTCTGAGTGTATATCCACACCGGGCGAGCTTGAAAAATATGCCAGGCCACGGTGGGAATCGAACTACGACCTTTGGAATAGATAGATAGATAGATATGAGATAGATAGATAGTTTATTAAGATATATCATTGCAGTCAAAATGGCTGAATTGTATATAAATTTATATAATATAATTAAAAATTAAAATTGATTAAAACTTACTTGAATTACTAAATATAAAACTATTTTTTAGTCTGTTTGTTTTACACATAGGAAAGTTAAACATGCGTCTATTCCTTAGTCCAATATCGGTTTCGTTTAGTTTCGGCACCAGATAATGCAGTTTATGGTTGGGATCAGAACATATTTCTTCAAAGAGTTTATCCGTTAGGTATTCTCTTCTTTCGTATGAAGAAAATAAGTTACTGTTCTTCAGTGCGTCCTGATAATTAATGTTTGGGAATATGATTTGCATTGCGCGTTTTTGGATACGTTCTAATTCATCTGACAATACGTGGGTAATCCGTTGTGGAAAACAGGACAGGCGTATTCGGTTATAGGACGAATACAAGTCTTGTAGAAAGTTAAAGTTCCTTTTCGGCAACTTTTGTACGTTTTAGTTGCCTCAGGAAATTCAATCGGGTAAAAGCTTTTTTAGCAATTTCCTCTATATGATGGTTCCATTTAAGATTATTGGAAATGTTCAGACCCAGTAATTTGATGGTAGTCACAATTTCTATTGGTTTATCATTGATAACAATAGGTGCATATTCAGGGTGATTTTTTGTAAAAGAAATCCGATCGAAGCTCTTTGCATTTCTTCTTATTAAACTGGAATTTGCTCCTATACGTTTTTTCCGTTAGTTCATTTGCTATATTCTGGATCTTACTTGTCTCTCCTTTGTCTACCATCTCAGCGGCTGTGGTATCGTCCACATATTTCCAGAAGTCGGTATTGGTAGTACAACCAAGGCCCTAACTTTGTTCCTTGGGGAACTCCTGCCGGCACATTTTTCCATTCCGATTTACAGTCCTGTCACAATTTTACCCTTTGTTTGCGGCATTTCAGGAAATCAACGATCCAACTGACGATATTATGGGGGATATTTAGATCGTTTAGTTTTCGAACCAATATATTGTGATCGATTAGGTCGAAAGCTTTCCTGAAATCGAAAACAACCACTCTGACTGTAGAGCCAGTTCCGTCCGTATACTTGCTCCATGTGTGTATCATGCTGATCAAAGCCTGGGTTGTCGATGATTTTGGAATTGAGCCAAATTGGTTACTTTTAATCTTTTTTAAAACCGCCGGTTTGACATATTCTTGTATGATGAACTCCTCAGCAACTTTAGAAAGTATTGGCGTGAGGGAAATTGGTCTTAAGTGTTTGCTGACGTCTTTTACTATTCTTTGTTTCGGTACTGGAACTATATCCGCTTCTTTCCATGATGGTGGTAACCTACTTTCGCGGAAGGAGCTGTTTATAATTTCTGCTATAGGTTCTGCAAGAAGGTCTGCATTCTTCTTCAGTAGCCAGGCCGGGAGGCCATCTGGACCTTGAGCTTTTGTTGGATTCAACAACGACAACTTCATAAAAACAGAGTGAACGGATAAAACAAATGGTACGGATGAAGGGATATCTTGTTCGAGTTGAAAATCGTGTGGAAGAGGTGAGAAAATCTTCATCGGAAGAATAAAAGCATCATTAACTATATTAGCTAGGTCAGATGTGCTTGAGGCCTCTTCTATGAATCGGAGAGAGTTCATTACATCATTTTGTCTCCCAGATGCAGAGGACATGCTGCTTAACTTTTTAATTTCTTTCCACCACTTTGCTGGTTTACAATCTTTTAAATGTTCAACTTTTGCTTCATAGTACTTTGATCGGCACACTTTTCTCTCTCGATTCACACAATTTCTTAGGCGTCGAAATTCAATTAAGTTCCCTTGACTAAGGGCTCGCTGGCGTTGCTTGATTAATTTTTTAAAGGTTGAATTAATCCATGGGGGCTTATTTAGATGGATAGTTCTAGTTCGTAGGGGAACTACTTGGTCTAAACCGTTCTTTAGGATTGATTGAAAAATCTCTAATTTTTCAGCGCACGTATCTTTGGTTTTAACTAGGGCAGCAACATCTATTTCTTGAAAGTATGTGTGCATAGCCAAACGATTACTTGGACGCAAGTCCCTTGATTTAATTGTTAATCGCTGCTTCGGTTGTTGTGAACGTATTTTTGGCTGAAGATCAATAGTCATATGATCGGATAGACCAAAAGGGGGACGCTGAACCGGGCTGTTATAGAACTCGTGTAAATTAGTCAAAATAAGATCTAATGTATTTGAACCTCTTGTTGGGAAAGTGATGATTTGTTTTAATTTGAAACTAGATTTCAATTTTGTGACTTTCAATTTGTTAAAGTCTCCGAGTAGAAGGATTCCACTGTTAGGGCTCTGGGCTTCAATTGATGAGAGGCAATTTGTAAGATAGTTCAACATTTCAGAATCACTTGCACTTGGTGGATGGTACACTGTTCCTGCGATGATGCAGTTAAAACCTCTTGGGAGTCGGGCTGGGCGGATTTTAATCCACAGGACTTCGAAAGCAGGGTCAACTATAAAATCGTCCATGAGGGAGAATTGAATCGATTCATTGATGTACGTACAAACTCCGCCGTGTATCTGTGATTTTCTGTCAAGCCGAACTATATTGAATCCACTGATGGACACTACTTCGTCTTGGATGCAATCTTTTAGCCACGTTTCAGTTAAACAAACTACACCAAAATTTGCGTGCACAACGCAATGTTGAATCTCATCAATTTTCGGCGCTAAGGACATCACATTGGAAAGGAGAACACTTGGAACGAATACATTTTCTGGAGCACTTGCAATTGTTGATTCCATCGCGGTAGCGAGGGTAATTTGGACACAGTTTGCCGGATTATGAATTCTGGCTGATGTCAATGTTGTTGGTATTTGTTTGGTATGTCTGACTTGTCGCAATTGCTCAGGATTTACAAGTCCATTAGCGATTGGACTACTCTGTGATGCGATTGTGTCTCGGTTAGTAATTCGTACAGTGATATGGCTAGGTAATGTTAAAGGGGTAAAAGCGAGAGCGTGGAGCTAATAGGTAACGAGAAAGGGTGGTGCGGTCCCTGGTGCCGTTGTTGGAGCGTTATCATTGTGTTAATCGGCGAACAAGATTTAAGTGATGTAGCCAGTCGTTCGTGTGCCGATACGCATTTCCCTCCCGAAAAAACTCCTGGTTATACTCTGTCTGAAATCGGGTTTTATTAACTCTACCACAGTATGGCTTTGATTGTTCTTTAAATAACTTAACCTTTTTGGGTTGCGTGGGATTTGGACATTGCTTGATGCGGCTTACCGTTTGATGTTTGAGTCGATATGCTTTTAACTGATCTTCCATGCACACATACTAGAATCAGCGCCCAGTGACGCAATAGGCGTGTGTAGAACTTCATCGGGAATAACGTTGGTATTATTATGAGAGCTAGTCCGAGGTGACATCTTAGTCAATGGTAGCGTTTCTACCGGATTCTCTCTCGTAGGATTATAATCTAATTGCATCGAAACATTCGAATTAACATTTTCCTCTTGATTGGTTTCTACAAAAGGGAGATAATTTAACCAATCGTGTGGCATTGTCCGATCCTGAAAAGGGGATTTCCCATACATTTTCTATTTCCCATACAGTTTCTGAATGCGTTCTCGTTTTCTACTACGTTCTCGTTCTCGGCTACGTTCTCGTTTTCGACTACGTTCTCGTTTTCGACTACGTTCTCGTTTTCGACTACGTTCTCGACTACGTTCTCGGCAGAAACGTTAGGGTGTGTATTTCTGGGATGGACGTTTGCTATGACTTCCTGTGGGTCTTCGTCATCACTAGATAACTCACTATTGTTTGTATTCGGATTAACGTGTTCCGCTTGTCGTCTGTTACTAGGTCGTGGTGATGGAGCTCCATCGGTTGTTTGGCTGTCCATTGGCAAGAAATCACACGGAAGGAGAAGATTTCTATGCAACGTCCGCCTTTTCTTCGCATTACCTTCAGGTTTAACCTCGTAGACTGGACTTTCCGCACTCTTCGCACAACAACGTGGATTTCCTTTTCCCAGTATGATCTCAACTTTCCAGGACCGCCACGTACACTCAAGTTCCGTACCAATACTCTATCGCCGGGCTGTAGTACTGAACTCCGTACCCAACGATCGTAGCGTTTCTTCGCTTTATCACCTTTCTCTTTTGCCTTTCGTCCAGCCAGCTGATGTGCCTCATGCATGGCGTTTTTCCACTCTGACACGTACTGGGGATAAGTCTTGCTGGTGGTTACTACTGTAGGTTGGGATCGAGCAGAAGGTCGAATGGTAGTCGGGGTTGTCGCCCAAAGAGGAGAAAGAATGGTGAATACCCGGTTGTGTCGTTCCGTGTACAGTTGTGCGCATGTACAACCTTGTTAACTTGGTCTTTCCAGCGTGACTTTTGATTTTCAGGGAGTGTTCTGAGCATGTCTAACAGCGTCCTATTAAATCTTTCCACTTGACCGTTACCCTTCGGATGGTAAGGGGTCGTCCGGGAATGCTTTACGCCACAAAGTTGTTCCAGCCTACCGAGGAGTTGATTCTCGAATTCCCCACCCTGGTCGTGATGGAATTT